CCCCATGTGGCACGTTTGATGGAACACATGATTATGGAGTTTGGTTGGGAAGTTCTTCCCCACCCACCATATTCTCCAGATAATGGCACCATCATATTACCACCTTTTTCATTCCCTGCTTAATGGGAAAACGTATAGAAATGTGGAAGGTGTTAAAGAGGACACTGACATATTTTTTGCTTCAAAGCCAAGTGATTTCTTTAATCAGGGCATTAACAATCTGACTGTAAGATGGAAAAGCATCATCGACAAGAATGGAGACTATTTCATTTAAAATATGTTTTGATATATAAGTTGTTCAGGTTTTTTCATCTAAAAAAAAGCGAGATTAATTTCTTGATGACCTAATATTTGTAGATACTTCCACACAAAAAACAATGTCTATGTTCATGAATGAAAGAAAAATACATCTTTACACATGAGTGCCAAATTGAGAAGTGATGATTGAATAATAAGTATGGATGGAGCCAGCAGTTCTAGGAGAGTGTGTCACACTCCTATTGGTGATGGGTTGTTGCAAGCTCATTTGCATGCAACAGCACAGCAATATCACATGGGTAAATCATAATTTTAGGTGGGAGTTTCAACACTAGCAGTGAGCAAAAATTATGCATATAAAGGGCAGTACTTAATCAGGAAAGCTATTATATGATCAGAGATAAGGTATCATATCGGTAGTTATTTTTCCTGACACCACTATATTACTAACTATGGTGCACAAGTTCACAAAATAAGCAATAATATGGCCTTAGTGTTCACAACATTTATTAGTGTTTTCTACTTTATTTTATGGCAAATCAATTTATCCAAATGGCTGTTGTGAAAAAATATACACAAAATCAAGTCATCTTAACTGAGAGTTCTATATTTCTTCTTATTCTATAATTTCTTCAAAGGTCTCTGAAGCTATACTATATACATAGTTGGGGAAATCACTACTTTTATTTCTGGATAAAACACACAAAAATATGCTTATATTACAAGAAAAGTCACCTTACAAGCTTCATTTATCACAAATTTGTACAGATAGCATTACTCCACTGCATTCAATTTTAGTATTATGTAAAATCTCTCTTTTTGACATGTAGCAGTGCCATCAATGAATTAAGAAATAAGTAAATGTAATAAGCTAAAATTCACTTATTCTATTTTAGCATAATAGGTGTATAAGACATAAAATATATTAAAAAATGCTTATTGTTTGAAGTATACATTATGGTTTTATAACTGCCTAACTTAAATTACAGATTATTAAATTATCAAATATAAATTAAAATGTTCTAATTAATGTAAACCTTAACAATTGATCCTGCATCTCCAAAAGCTTGTCTGGTGAACTATCTTTTACTGCAAGAACAAGTCTGTTGGCATCATTAATCAAGTTTATCTGAAAAAAAAGAAAGAAGAGTGAAACAATAATTCTTATACAACCATAAGATTTTTAATATTCTCAGATAAAAATACAACTATACAGAAGAACCATTATAATACAATAATTCACTTATTCAAATTCATTTATATCAAACGCATACTTAATGTTTAAATTAATATCTTCTTTGTAACTTATAAACCTTCCATATTTTTGTGTTTACCAATGATAACATTTTGTTAATGCTGCACAAAATAAGAAGTTTTTCAGATGGTTATTTATCTTTAAAAATCCTAATAAAATCCAGTAAAACTTTACATGTAATGTTTTTTAGAGAAATAACAAAAATCTACGTTTAAAAAAGAAAAAAGTCTGTCACAAAAGAAAACAGATTGGAACTATGTCTGAAAGGACCGGCACCAAGAGAAAGACCAACTTTTAGTATTATCCAAATCTAAGCCAGGAAACTAGGTTTTAAACCAATCATAAACAATCCATCAAAATTTCTGCAATTTGTAGCCTGCCACTGGAAGGATGGCATGAAAAACTGTCACAAGAACAGGATCTGGGCTCATTTCTTATGATATTGTAATCTAAAGAAATTTAAAAACAAAGGTACACTGAGCTACTGAATGGGATAACCACCAAAACCTTCATAGTTGTTTGATTAGATTCTCTCACTAAATGAAGAAAGTTGAATTTGCTATAGATGAGAGAGACTTTGTTCCCTAAAACTTCAAGTGTGACTACACCTGTGACAACTACCTTGTTGTCAATTGTCAGAAGTATAGGGGGCAGGACTGAACAGCATCTTAGGGGAGTTTGACTCAAAGGCAATGATGCAATGGGGACATCAGGCTTTGTTCTTGAAAGAGTATGACTACAGCTGGCAAAAGGAAAAGAGAAATGCCAGGGCAGGCAATGGATTTGAGTACCCAAGGGAGAAGTTATATCCTATCCAATGCAAGCTGGTCCAAGCTAATGAATTGATCTAAAGGATGTCTTCAAAGGGAAGAAAGTATACTAAAGCCTAAGTCAAGTAACTAACCATAATGAAGTAGACTTGCAGGAGCTCTAAAACTGTAAACATATATATTTTAGATATTTGCTTTTATCTTTTTATGTGTGAGTGTACAGTAAACAGGATTGAGTATGTTATATGAGAACGATTTTGATCATGTATATAATATAACATTAACTCCCTCACTATGGGCTCAGTTGATGCAATTGAGTTAATGATCCCAAATTGACCTTTAAAGTTCCTATACTAAAACTTCTAACATGTTTTGCATATCTTAATGAAATTTTGCAAGCTTTCAGAAAATATTACAAGTATTTTATAGACAAATATCGGAATTTTTAATTAATGATGTATATTTCCTACAAATTTCTACATGAATGTATGGAGTCAAAGTGTTGACTGCTCTAAGGGCAAAGTTATGTTCATGTTAAGATTAAAAATACTTTTATTTTTCGAAAAATTTTGAAATTTCGTTTGTGTAATCTCTAAAACTTCCTAAATAATTATAAAACATTATTTTTCAGTAAAACTTTATATTTTATCTGTCATTTTTTTCTACCCTAACTCTGTATAAAAGATTGGTCAAATGTTACAATTCTTATACTAGAAGAGATTGAAGATAGTTTAAAATATTTTCTTATAAAATTAAGAACTTAAAACTTGTATATTAAAATTTGATTTATTAATTATGTTTCGATGCCAAGTTTATTCCTATACCATGATAATAAGGTAGTTTAATCAAATTTTGAATGCAAGTCTCTAAAAAAGTTGTGACATGCACACTTTGATCTGCCTGTTGGAAAAGGGTCAAAGGACAACAAGGGACCTTTTGGTCCATCTGCACTGTTCTATCCACTACGTTAAACCAAACCTTTAAAGAAAAATCTGAAAGCCAGCCGTTATCCTTCAAATATTTATCAAGCGTTCCCTTAAGTAACTGTATCTACCAAATATGAAGGCAATCTGTTATAGAGGAGAATCACCCTGATAGAAAAATAAAGCTGTAGATGACTTTATCCCTGCCAAAATTTATATTTGTGTCCCCAAATCTTACCATTCTCACCATTAAATATGAAAAATGATGCATCAATACTATATATTCTCCTAACACTTAAACATCTCAATCAAATTCCCTCTAATTCTTTTTTCAAGTGATCTTAACTTATCTTCATATGATAACCATTCCACCCCATGTAGCAATCACAGCTAATATAAAGTTGTGGTGGAGCAGCATGTATCAAAACTACATTTTGACATTGCATATCATTTTGTATTTAGTGGATGCCACTGAAAACTGATTGCTGTTGGGAAAGATATGTAACAGCATTTCCCAATGCAAAAATATTCATAAACTGAAACCAAAGATATGTTCAAATTGGAGATTTAGAATTCCCAGAATTAAAATATACTTGTACTTAATGGCATTGGAAAACAAATGAATATGAATCAACTAGGGACACCAGGACTATCCAGCAAGAGACATGCAACAAGTCATACCCCAGCCATGGTAAGCAAAGTATGGAATCTTATAACAAGTGAAAATCCATAAACAAAAAGGTGATTTGCAAAACCCATCAACGTGCCCCAGGTAATAATATGTAGCCAATTCAAAAATGATCTATGTATGAAAATAAGGCCAACAGGGTATATGTTCACAATAATAAGGCTTCCAGTCATACCTTTCATTCATTCAAGCAGCTAGGGAATGAAATGTATATTCATGCTATTTCATATGAAGACATACCAGTAAAGTTGTTGAACACAGCACCTATTTATTTCTGTGCAGATGGACTTTGGAAAATGGTGCTTGGAAACTTTCATCCTTGTACACATCAATTAAACTGGTGTGCTTTGTATACAACTCCCTTGCTATGGATTCTTGTTAAATGGAAACTATGCTATTGTCAAGACTGGATGGGGTAACACTAGTTGTAATGAGGTGGTGAACCTCCAAAAGTGTTTTAAAATAATGCACTCAACCCACTTTTTTAAAGAATACACATGTACTGTGTATATTCTGTAAATAAGTTATTCTAATGTGTATTTTAGATCTATTTA